ATCTGTAATCTACGTAGGATTGATAACAGAACACAAATATTAAAAGGCAAAAAGCAAAGAAGAGTTTTGTCTGATAAATCTTCTATCAGTTTTTCTTGCACCAAGTATGATACCCAGCACACAGAATCACATGGTATAGAATAATTAATAATAGAAGAAATTGAAAAATGTATGTACAAATATGTATATATAGAGGATTCAAAATTATGCATAAAAATATTGGAAAGATATGCACCAAAATGGTAACAGTTGTTAGCAATGGGTTAGAAGATTACAGCAACAAGGAGTGAGGGAGGGATGGGAAAAATATATATTTTAAAAATTGCAGTGACTTATTTTCCTTCCCTGTGCTTTTCTGAGTCTTTCCAAATTTCTACAGTTAATAAATTCTAAAATCAGAAAAAAGATTTTTGTTACAAAGACATTTTTCCCAGAAAACAATGTTTCCAATGAAGTTGTGTTAGATACAAAATCAGCGACAGTGATAAGAATAACTAATATTTATTTAGCATTTCCTGTGTGCCAGGCCCTGTAGTAAGTACTTTACAGAAAGCATTTCGTTTAGTCCCCACCCTCTAATGTAGGTATTGTTCTGACCCTCATTTTGCAAATGAAACAACTCAAGTTATTTGTGTGAAATCAAAGAGCTGGTAAGCGGTGACGCTCCAGATGTGAACCCAGGATCCAACTCCAGGACTCCTACACCCATGTGCCAGCCACCAGGCTTCCTGCCTCTAACCACACTGCTTCCCAAAAACCTCACCGTTCTGTTTTTGATTTTCAAGTCTTCTTTGCTTTTTATTGATTCTCATCCCTTTTGGGGAGTGTTCAGAAATAAACGATGTATGCATTTCTGGCATGTGGAGGCAATCAGGCAACCACTACACATAGTTCCCTGCAGTGAACACAAACACCTTCCCCAAGGGGAACATAAGAACATGAGAATTAAAAAGCAAAATCCTCCAGCTGTCAGCTCTCATGATACCACAAACCTCTCCTTCCAAACACTGCTCACACCTGCTCTCTACATTTGCTTGCTGTTTGATTACTTCTACCTGCCGACCACTTTTCAGAGCACTTTGCATGCATTGCTTTTCTTCTCACCATTACAGCTTCTTTCCACTTTACACAAGGAAACTCAGGCCCAGAGACGCTAAGAGACTTGCTGAAAGTCTCAAAGCTGAGGTTTGAATTCTGGAGTCATCATTCTCAAATCAATAAAGAATGAAGGCACACCTCTCCATTTTCTAAAAAATGTTCTCTCATCAGGACTGCTTCATTTTATTTCGGTAAGTCTTAAATATTTCATATAAATCATTCTTCTAATATTTTTAATTATATTTTCCAACTGGTTATTTTAGACAAGAAAATTTGTTTACATGTTAGCTTTGTATCCCTCATAAACTTACTGAACTCTCTCACTAACTGTAGTAAATTTAATTGAGTCTCCATTATATCAGCTACGTAATCTCCTAATTTCTATAAATACTAATTTTGTCTCCTCCTTTCCAGTATAAAGATATCTTTATTTCATGTTGTACAACTACACTGTCAGAACCCTCACAAAACTACATTAAATAACAGCGAGAGCAGGCATCTTTGTTTTGTATTTTATTTCACTGGGGATGCTCCTACTGACTCAACATTAAGTATGACACCAGTTGTAGGCTTAATATAATACCCTTCCATTGTGTTCAGGAACTAGTCTTTGAGTCCTATTTGACTAAGAGTTTTTATCAGGAATGAATACTGAACCTCATCAAATGTACTTCCTAAACAGATAATTATGACTATCCTCCTAGTTATTCATGACAAATATTATTAATGTATTTTATATCATAAAACCCTATTTTCTATCCTAACTCTACCTGATTTGACTATAGTTTTTTAATATATGAAAACAAAAATTAGCTAATTTTGTTTAATGTTTCATGTAGTTTGAATTTTATTTATTTTAGTTTGAATTAAGTTACAATTTTTAAAACTACATCCATAGCTATTCACTGCCTGTCTCCCATCTCTCTTTACCACCTCCCTGCAGGCCTAATTCATCCCCAACATGAATAGAGCCACTTTTCTAGATCACACAGTGGCTACTTCTCTCTTATTCTCAGAAACCTACAACTTCACCATGTTTCTGTATTATAAAGTACGCATCTTTTAGCATGATAATTACTGTCCTTTATAAGATGGCTCCAAACTATCTTTTAATCTTCATTTCAACCATGATTCCCAAATAACACTCACTTGGGATTCCTTTTCTCATGATTTTCCCAAAAAAATCCTTCCTTATTTTCTTCACTGGGAAAACTCTTTTCTTTCTTGGGCCAATACACTGCCACCTCACCTATGTCCCTCCCCAGTCCTCCCTGTTATTTCATCCCAGAGAACCAAGTATACAGATCTCTGTTGTGGGACTTGCCCCTGCCCGACTTGTGTAGTTACTCATTTGGAGCAGAGGTCAGCAAACTTCTGTGAAGAGTCAGACGGTAAACATTTCAGGCTCTCCAGGTCTCTTGTGCACATTTCTATTAAATTTTCCCCTACATTTTAATAAGGTAGAAACCATTATTAGCTCACAGGCCATACGAAAACAGGGCACCAGAGATCAGCAGTAATTTGCCTCGCATGGTTTAGAGGCTCATCACCCACTGGACTATAAGCTAGCTGAGAGAAGGGGAAATCTCTAACCCATCTTCATAATCTTCAGCTCCTGGTGCTTGGAAGATGTTCAAATTGCTGAAGTTGATTGAGAACACTGATAACTAATATATCCTGATGAGTCAGATATACATCCATGGACAATTATTTCCCCAAATTTTGAGCTATTTCTACAAAAAGTAATTCTGGATTTTGAGTCTCTTAGGCATCTGAGCATTAAAAATGAGCCATGTCCATGGGGATAGCAGACAGGTAGTTTGAATTTCACTTGTTCAATAAATAAAATGAGGCTTTTTGCCTCATTTAGTAAGAAAAACTATGATATCAGCCAAAGAGCCTCTCCCTCTCCAAATATAGAAAAAGTGCTTCTCTGATCACGGAGTTCACAACTACACTGCTCCCTGGCCTCACAGAATATAACACCAGCTAACTCCAGCTTTTCAAGTAGCCCACTCAGCTTCTCACCCCAGAAAATCATCCAGACTTTTGATGCTGTTTTGAGTATTTTTCATGTATCCAGCCTAGCTATCAGTGATTCATTTTCCTCCCATCTCCTGAAAACTGGGGAGAAAATATTGTCTAAATCATTAAACGCAAGAGAAACAACTGTCAGTTTTCATTATTATTGCTAACACCCTGCTCCCTGATTCTCCCAACCAGAAATGTCCAGAAACGTGAAGGTCGCCCCTCTCTGGTTAAAAAAGCCACACTGAAAAAAAAAATAAAAATAAAATAAAATAAATTAAAAAAAAAAAGCCACACTGTTAAAGTGTTAAAGATGTATGGTGCTAATAGCATAATTTCTGTCATAATTCCAGGGACTCAATTCCTTGCTTACTGGGGCTCACAACAGCATGAGCCGGTGAGGAAGGGTTGGAAGCCAGAAACAGACATAGTCATTGCTAAGAAGAAATGGCCCAGTTGTGAGCCTACTTTCTGAGGCCAAGAGTCCAGCATTAAGTTTCCAAAGGAATGAAGCAAACTTGAGGTTAATTCCATTCACATCTACATAAGCAGGTCTACCTGGTCCCAGCGGAGCAAAACAACAGAAAGTCTAGACAATGTTAATTCTGCAAGCCAGACAGAGCTTTTAAAGGAGTCCAGCCAGTATCAAGCCCCCGAGCCCGAGACCATAGCCCCCGTAATGAAGCTAGCCAAGAGCTGGATGAGGTGCTGGGATCTCCCCTCTGCAGGCTGGGGTTCAAGGGAAGACCCCAGGTTTAGCAACTGTCCGAAGTGTAGAGCAGAAAGATGCAGTCAGAGTGGGTCACTCTGTAAGGAACAGGTTATACCCAGCACGGCCTCCACCCAGCATGGCTTCCAGTTCCTAAGCTGGTTTTCAACAAAACAAATTCTAAACTCTACTTCCTAGCAGAGATGAGGTACTTAATGTGCTCTAGAATGAGGATGAATCTGGAAATTAATGCGAGTGAGGGAGAGCCAGTGAAAACCCACCTGGGGAAAAAATTAGTAGCCCTCAAAGGACTTGGTCAGATGGCCAAGTTATATGGAGGACTTGGCTCCATGTACATTAGCTATCCCCCAGGAGAAGCCATTATTTCACACATAGAAGGTCCTGAATTCAGTATCTGTTTATGAATCGTCATTGCAATGAATCAGGCTCTGCCCAGTGAAGAACCACATCAGCCCAGGGCCCCCTCAGCCTGCCAGGGGAGCGAGCGTGCCTCATTCTATTCCCAGCCATCCTCACCAGCCCGTGGGTACATGCTGCTCTGTGTTTCTCTTTTAGAGCTTTCCCAAATAAAATTATATCATTGTATGTGACAAATACAAAATCAGAGTTAAAATGTGCTAGTAATAAGAGGACTAAGAAAACAAACAGAAATAAGAGGAGCAAGAAAATGACAAATATTCCACATATACAGGGAATGGATGGGAATCAGTGCTGTCAGCAGGCCTCTCAAACTCGTGACGTCAATGGGTACACAGCTGAACCTCTAAGCAGTGTGTTCCTAAAGCAGCCTGTGACCCTAACCTGTTTATAATAAACAGGTGCTTCCCTGCTCAAAACCCCCGTTTTCTCACAGCGCATTCAGAAACGCCAGCATCACTTGCAGTCAGGTGGTAATGCTGAAGCATGTTCCATACTCTCTTCACACAGGCTCACCACACTAAAAACAGTCAAGCACCAGTGATTAAGCAGAAAGATGCATGCTTTTGAAAAGTAGAGGATTTGGTTAAACGTGTGGATGGCAACCTACACAGGGAAGCAAAGAAATCAACCAAAATTAAAACATAAATTAGTGAATCAACAGTGCTTTGCTAATCATGCAAAAGGTAAGAATAGCAAATATAGAATAGAAGGTGTGGTACATTACCCAAAAGCCCTGCCAAAGACCGCATGTCCTTCTCCATCAGCATGTAAATCTCTTCCTCGGAGAAGCGGCCAATGCCGTGGCCGTGCATCTCGCGTTTCACAATTCCTTTCGTTATGTGGCACACGACCCACCTCAGCAGGTTGCTGAAGGGACCACCACCACTAAGAGAGAGCATCTTCCGGGTCTCATTGAGATTGTCCACCCACTGGCAATAAGCTAATGTCCTGGAATTGTGTGGAAACAAGTTACTACTGTGCATCATGTACATGTCAGCTCCACAGAGTCACTTTAGAATGAGTCGTTCAGAATTCAGTACACTCTGGAGGAACTGAATAACTGCAGCTTTAACAAAGAGCAATCTGCATGGCAGATATCACAGCAGGCTCTAGTCAATGCCTAGACTTAAGGGGTTGTGGAAGAAATGGGAAAAAATCCAGATAAAGATGCCATCAAACCTGGTACCCACCCTCAGACCTCTCCCCTCCCCTCTCAGTGCCACATTTATGCCTTCTCTCACACAACCCCACAAAATACAAGTAGAAACCCACTTGAAAAGTCTTTGAGTCAGGATAGTGAGCACTCCTGGGGGCACAGGGCAGGAGGCAGTAGTGACTGGGGTTGCTGGCATCATTCTCTTTCCTGAGCAAAATGATGGTTCCGCAGGTTTATGCTTGGTGTTCATTAATTAAGCTGCACATTTTTGTTTTATATACCTTGCATATGCATTTTACATTTCATGATACAAAAGGGTTTTAAAAAAAAAAAGAAAGAAAAAACCTTTTTGCCTTTTTTAAAAAAGACACAGGGTCTTGCTATGTTACCCAGGCTGGACTCTAACTCCTGGGCCCAAGTGATCCCCCCACGTCAGCTCTCGGAATAGCTGTGACTACAGGCATGCATCACCACACCCAGCCTTTTTGCTTTTTTGAGAGAGGATTAGGGAGCGAGTGCACCTGGCCATCTTTATTATAAATTAAAATATTATGTAAATGATTTTCTCTCCAAGAAAATCAACTCTACCTCAGTTTGTTCTCAAGAGCTCTAAAGGGAACACAAATATCCATGGAACTTGGTTGAATCCTTTTTCCCATCTAGGTGATACTAGTGGTAAACCTGCTCATTCAGGTGCTCCTGAAAACGGTGTAATCCGTAGGGAGAGTCCGGCAGCTATTCACTGTTCAAACATTTTGCTGACTACTATACCCAGGTCTTTGCTGATTGTTTTCTCCAAACAGCAAGAATTTTTTTTATGACAAACAGTGTTGGTAGACAGAAATGAAAAGGGTTTTCTACTGAAGGCTGCGAGAATGTAGCTGTGTGGGAGTACAGGCATAAGACATTTTCATTTTCCCTCATAATGAGTAATAAAAGATGTATTGGCAATCATCTTTACCCTTCGCACTGGCTGATACAGCAGTAATGGCCACTTCAAAAAATTCAGAAGCCAGGTGTGGTGGTACATGCCTGTAGTCCCAGCTACTCAAGAGGGCCAGGTAGGAGGATCGCTTGGGCCCAGGAGTTTAAGGCCAACCTGAGTACCATAGTGAGACCATTGTATCAATCAATAAATAAAGATTTAAAAATAAAAAGAAATTCAAGCAATTGGAAAGTGGCAGAGCCAGAATGCTGCATTTTTAAAGTTTTTTTTTTAATCGAAGGGGTGAAAAATATTTTGAGAGAGAACTCAAGGAATGATAGCAAATCACAGCTATGATAAAATGCTGCTTTCCACCTAAAGAAAAAAAGGCATTTTGATCATTTTATATAGTTCTGTTCTTTAAGAGTTCTCTGTTCTAAAAACAAATAAAATAAGAAATAGATTTCTCTAAAATTGTTGCAATCCTGATTTTTACCAAAAAGTCTTACAGCCAATTTCAACATACTCCCTGTGCCATAGGTATAGCTGTTCCTTGCTACCTTTTTTTTTTCTTTTTTTTTTTTTTTTGAGACGGAGTTTCGCTCTTGTTACCCAGGCTGGAGTGCAATGGCGCGATCTCGGCTCACCGCAACCTCCGCCTCCTGGGTTCAGGCAATTCTCCTGCCTCAGCCTCCTGAGTAGCTGGGATTACAGGCACGCACCACCATGCCCAGCTAATTTTTTGTATTTTTAGTAGAGACGGGGTTTCACCGTGTTGACCAGGATAGTCTCGATCTCTTGACCTCGTGATCCACCCGCCTCGGCCTCCCAAAGTGCTGGGATTACAGGCGTGAGCCACCGGCGCCCGGCCCCTTGCTACCTTTTTAAAAGAATGCCCACAAATCTTGTTAGAAAGCTTTGTTGCCTCTTTTGGTAAGTCTCTCAAAATAAAGTACTGAAGAATCAAGAAATAGTTTTTCCCCAAAACAGGAAGAAGTACATCACAATAGTGATGAATTAATGTATATAGTCAGAGCATTCCATTGATCTTTCAATACAGAATATCTTGCATTTTTTTCTAGTAAATTCTATATAGACATAGAAACAAAATGTTTTTCTACTTGCTCCTTTTTCACACCTGCAGTAATTAAGGTGGCAATTTTCACATTCCATTAGAATAATTCAGCACTTTGATTCTAATTGTACTAGGTCTAAATTCACAACAAAAGAGTTACACAACCTTTTACCATTCTGGAAGTCAATGGTCTTAGGGTAAAACTCAATTATTCTAAATTGAACATGTCCATGTAATAATAGCATCCGAAAAAAGCATCTAAAGTGGGAAAATGCGGAATGTGTGGCTCTAAGCCGACAGGTTAGAAGGGGAAAAAAATTCTTTGTGACAAATTACTCAGGTTTAATCATAAGCATAACTGATCAGGCTCACTGGGTAGATCAGAGGGTGAAGGCGGGCGCATGAAGAGCATCGGTGGCCTGATAACTGCAAGAACTTTCGTAAGGAGCACATGGGTACAGGATGCTTTTGGGGAAGCCTGGAAGAGGGAGGCTGGAGGTATGGGCATGGGCCCGGTCAGAACAGACCTAAGGAAAGGGAGCTGAACTTTATTCCCAAAGCAAAGGTTAACTGCCATAAGGCTTTAAACAGACAAGAACATACTCAGATTTGTGGCAGTGTAAAGGAAGAACTGGAAGGTGGAGAAAATGCTGGCAGGAAGGCCAGTTACCACACTACAGCAAAACCAGGCAAGAGGTGATGCGCTGGGTGAGGCAACAGCAGAAGGAATCCATAGGAGAAACACTGCAACAGAAAAAAAGAATCTATTGGACTACGATGGATCTAAAGATTTATCAGTAAGGAGAAATTAGGTATTTTCTTCTAAAATAATAGTTTGATTGGATGGTAATACCACTAACCAATACCAGATTACACAAGGTAGAACATATTTTGGGTGATGAAAGATTAGTTAACCTGTAGCATTTGAAGGTCCCATGGAAGCCCTAGGTGAAGCTGTCTAGAAGGCTGAGAAGTCAGCAGATTGGTTTAGACTCCAGCTAGAAAACTGGTGAGCAGGGACACGTTGGTGGTGGTTTTAAAGCTGTGAGAGGAGATGAGGTCACTTTAGGAAGTTTCTAGAGTGTTGAGGAAACCACAGTTCAAGGACAAGTTAGAAGATGTGAAGGTCAGGCTGAAAGAGGCAGCCTGGAGAGAAGCAGGGACATCTTTCTCCGCGCTGGAGAAAGAGAGAGCGTTGTAAGAGGTGAGGGGCTACAGAGAAGTTTCGAGTTCCTGCCTGATGACTTCAGCTTCCTCTGTAGCACAGGAAATGAGAGCACGCACACCAGGTAAAATCACAGCAGTAGAGAGTTTTAGGAGTAGCAGGCAGGAAGGGAGAGGCAGCTGTTCTGGGCCACACAGCTTGGCAGGGAGGAGTCTCTGCCAATGCAATGGTGGGAGGTTCTCTACCTGCAGCAGGCTGAATGCAGGACACAGAAGAAGGAACACTGGGTGGGTTCAGAATTTCACAGCTAGAAGTAACCTCAGAAACTGTCTGGTCTTCCTCCCTTCTCCTTCCTACCTTGCTCTTGATTTTTCTTCCTCTCTTTCACTCTCTGTGCCCATATTATAAACCAGTGTCAGAGAAGAGTAGTAAATGAGGGCCAGGCAGGCTCTTTAAGGGCTGAAGCTAGTGAAATGCATATAAACTTTAAATACCAGAGAAAATAGATTCCTAAATCAACTACTACAAGCAGAAGACATCACATTGTATGTTTCCGTGTTATTGCAAACGAGAATCCATCTCCTCTCACAACCAAGATTCTTGAAAACTCTGTTCATGTGGTTGGAGCCTCTACCCTAATCACTCCACCAAAATCATTCTTGTTCAAGTCAACACTGCAACATCTAAATAGACCATCTTTCTATATTCTTGAACTCTCTGAAGCATCTGACACTATTGGCCTCTTTCTTGGAACTCTCTCTTAGCTTACACCTCTACTATTTTTCCTTCCACCCCTCGCATATTCCCAAGATCTCTATCTTCATTCCTTTCTTCCTACTCCATACTTGTGGAGCCATCTAACTCACACTCATGACTTCACACCCATGTTTCCCATAGCCAGCCCTCTCCTGAGATCAATGGATCCTATGTGAGTGACCCTCAGGAGGTGCAAACCAACATTTCCAAAACAGCACTCATCATCTTTGTTCCATTCAAACCTCATTCTCCTTGCCCAAGCCAGGATCCCAGGAGTTCTTCACTATCCCCTCTCCCTCACTCCTGACAGTCAGTCACCCTGTGAATTTGCCCTTTCTCCAACTCCATAAACACTGCAGTTCAGCCCTTCATTATTTCTTAACTACGAGGCACACGGCCTCCTACCAGGTCCCCTGACATCCCTTCAAGGCCCTTCAGAAATCCATTTGCTCCAAGGGACACAAAGAACTTCCTAAACACAAACCTAGTCATAACACTAATGCTTCTTAGAATCATTCATTAACTTCCCACAGCTTCTTTGCATGGCACACCAGCTCCTCTCCCCACATTGTAACCCCTCTATGACCTGACCCTTCTCTGGTCCCATCTCCCAGCACTGACTCCCATGCACCCTATGCACAAGCCATACAGAATTACATGCACCTTCCTGCTATAGACTGAACGTTCACATCCCTCTAAAATTCATGTGTTGAGACCTGACCCCCAGTGTGATTGTATGTGGAGGTGAAGCCTTTGGGATATGATTAGGTCATAAGGGCAGAGCCATCAGGAACGGGGTTAGTGTCCTTATAAAAGAGACCCCAGAGAGCTACCTCGCCCCTTCCACCACATGTGATTACAGGGAGAAAGATGACTGTCTATGAACCACGAAGCTGGCCTCACCAGATATCGAATCCACTGATGCTTTGAACTAGGACTCACCAGACTCTGGAGCCATGAGAAACAAACCTGTTCTTTATGAGCCACCTAGTTGAAAGTATTCTGTTATGGCAGCTCAAATGGCCTAATATACTCCCCAAATGCCTCCTTCTTGCCTCTAAACTTCTGCGGATGTTGCTCCCTCTGCCGGGACATCCTAAGCTTTCCCTGTCACCAGCCCCTCATCTGCCATTCCAACTGTCCTTGGATTCCATTTTGACAATATCTCCTCTGCAAAGCCTTCCCCTCTTCTCTCCAGTAGTGGCTGGCTGCCTTTCCTTGGTTCTTCAAACCCTTCCCCAGCACTAACCATTACAAAGACTTGATGTCTCCCTCCAGCCCTTGAGCCACTTGACGACAGGTATACCATCCCGGCCACTAATAGTCATTCATTAAGTTTGCAGAAATAGTGAATTATTGATGAAATGAAAAAAAGGCTTTGCTTTTGAGCCAGCTACTGCTAAGTAGTATTCCTAAGGGATGACACATACTTAAATAGAAAAATGGGAAAAGAGACTAAGAGACATGCCTATCGAAAATGAAGAAGGGGCTGCCACTTTTCTCTTAGAATCCACGGCTCTTTACTCTCCCCTGGGAAAAGGCCCACTGCAAAAGGAATCATGAATTATTAACTGCAGAGGACAGGGAGGGTCAAGTTGGAAAGCAGGCAAGGCTAAGCAATTAAAGTAATTTATCATTTTGAGAATCTATTTCAAGAAGTTGAAATACTCATTTTCCTTATCACAACTAATGTATCTTATCTCTTCTGCAAAGATTGGGTCAAAGAGATTTTTTTAAAGTCTATCTTAGAACAGAAGAACAAAACCTGCTCAAAAATGTTTAAAGGAGAACAAGAAAACAATCAAAGAGAAGCTGACCCCTGATATTTTAATGAAGATATCACACATTATAACTTAATACCTAGCCCATGATAGAAATGAATATGTATAAGTGGAAACCCATAGCAAATAATAATTTGATGACTGAGTGTCAACACCTGGCTTTCCAAATCATGAGAATGCCTTTCTCTGCATAAAGCTACATCCCTGTTGTCTTTTGCTTATGCTCTGAATATCTGCTCAAAAATATAGGAGCATACAATATGTTTCTGTAGTTTCACCAAGTTTCACAAGCATTAGATCAACCCCTCCAAACAAGGGCCCCCACTACATCTGACACTGGGGTGGGGAGAAAAGAAAGAAAAGAAGAACATAAGAACCAAGCTGTAATCAGAAAGAGTAGTCTCTTGGCTTTTAGAAAAGATCTTCTTGGTTAAGTCAATTTATGGAAGTATCCCATCTCCTCCCATCTCCAGAACGACACTCAAAATTTTAAAATTATGGCCAGCCTAGAAGTAGGTTTGAATTCACTGTTCTAATGCCTGTGTGCGCACACACACAGGCATTAGAACAGGGAATTTTTATTATTTTTTTTTTAGAGACACGGTCTCACTCTGTCATCCAGGATGTAGTGAGGTGGCACGATCACAGCTCACTGAAGCCTCAAACTCCTGGGCTCTAGAGATCCTCCCACCTCAGTCTCCTGAGTAGCTGGGACTACAGTGTGTGCCACCATACCTGGATAACTTTTTTGTAGAGACAGGGTTTTGCCAGGTTGCCCAGGGTGGTCTCAAACTCCTGGGCTCAAGAAATCCTCCTGCTTCAGCTTTACAAAGTACTGAGATTACAAGCATGAGCCACCGTGATTGCCCCTAATGGCTATATTTTTATGGGTGAAAATATTATAATAACTGCATAGTCTGAAAAGGATACCCGTATGGTGTTGAAAGACCGAAGATGCTCACTGACATCCACAAGGGGGCAGTATGTCACACTGAAGAAGCTGTAGTGTGCTACCAAAAATCAATTTCATTCCAGTAATTTGATCCCATGTCTAGCTGACTTCCCTTTACACCAGCTTCTCTGTACTTAAGCATTCAGTAGAACAAAGGGGATTTTTAAAAACTGTGTTCTTGATCTTCAATAATAGTTTTTATAATGCAAGGGGAACATCATTGTATAGATTTCAAGTGGAAGAAATGCCACTTTAGAGCTAAGTGTGTTTATTTGAATAGACCTAAAACAGTTTCAGAATTATGTGATGCAACATAACAACGCTGGCTTTTCATTGCCTTTGCTTTTGATAAAATCACACCTGGGGTGTTTTTAAGGTTTCAGGCCAAAGTAAACATGAAAACTCAACATAATTGAATCAACTGAGTCAAACAAGGTAGGTTTTTTAAATTTCCTCTTCTGGCTCTGTGAGTACAGATACAACCTAAGAGCTCATTGACTGTTAGAATTTAACAAGATATAATGGAAAGCTCATACTTGTAATATTTTTCTACATATTTTGGTCAGATCCCTATATGCTGGGCCTCGGCTTTCATGGGTAGACATTTCGTGTGTGGCCTTGGAACCCAAAGATGGGAGGAGGGGAGGTGCCTGAGGGAAGAGTATCTTAAGATTCTCTGCCTGGGGCATAGGGAAAAGAGAGTCTGCTCTCCATTGGGATTTAGAGCTCTCCTAAAAGTCTCTTCAGGGTTTCCCCAAAGCAAGAAGTTGGCTAAAGGCTTAAGAAACAGAGAGAGACTTGTTTTTCCTTCTGCTACTAGAGACTAAATGGAACTGTAGGAATTAGCAGTGTTAGTTTGAAAGTTTATCAGACACGTGCATCTCAATCAAGACCTTTCATTCCCACCTTCACTATTTTTTCCTCAAATTAACCATTGAGAAGACATAAGCAAGAAATAATAGCTAACCCCGCCAACATTTTTCAAATTAAAAAGTGAATTAGAGAAATGTAATTGTCTTAGGAGAGTCTACATATGACCCAAGCAGATCCCCAAGCCTTCGGGAGTTTGTAGTCCACAAAATTAAGTTCCTTCCCCACTGGGTACCACTTCCCAACTCTTACCCCCACCCCTCATCCCCACTCATGCTCCACCCTCCATGGAGTATCAGCTCGGGCTGGTGAAAGGAGAGATGGAAAGGGAAGGGCAGGAATGAACTTCTGGCAGGGAGTAAAGTTATATAAAATGACATGTATGCACACATAGAACAAAAAGCAGTGATGTGTGGTAGTTGGAAATGTTTCTGGGTCAAAAACTTTCTAATGGGAATATATATTTTCTAAACCACTATGGAAATCAAAGAGTTGTAGCCAAAGTGACAACTAAAATGTATGGCTTTCAGCTTTTCAGACAGCTAACAAAGCAATAGCTCTGGCAATCAATGGGCCCATCAATCAAATGAGGCAGTGCCTTGGAGGGAAGCTGTGGAGGGAAGGCACTTAGGTCAGGTGACCCTGTGTGGGTAGTTCATTTCCCTTCAGCGGCAGAACCAACTAGAGCCCAGTAAGCAAGTGCGTGGGCTCTTCGTGAGGCTTTTCTCAGAAGCGAAGTTTTTCCTGGAAGTTATGCATGTCAGATGCAGTCATGCATTTTGGTTCTCACTGTGACTGCTGCAATTCTTTGGGAGGGGTGCCCCAGTAGTTCCCCATTACTATTATAAGGAAAAGGCCAGGTTCATTCCATGAACACTGAGTCTGATTACTTCCACACTGATCTGTACCCCTGTCTCCGGCCTCTCTCCAGCCCCCTCCTTGCTCCCCACTCCATCACCTCTGTAGCGAAGGGAGGGTAGAAGTGGAGCTTAGGTCGGCCCTGGAATACACTGGGCAAGAACCAAAAGCAGGAGAAAACGAAGAGGGTCACTTAAAATCCGAGAGATAGGAACAGCAAGTTTTCCATTTAGAAAGAGAGTGAAATAAATGAAATAGGGAGAGGAGGAGGAAGAACCTTTTCCAATCAACCCCACACTGAGGATGTCACTCAGCGGGAGAGGTTTAATAAAAGCTACTGGCCAGCATCTGCCTGGAAATATATTAATGCCAAAAACGGTGGGCTTAACAAATCTTAATTCAATCTTTGGAACAAAATAAGGTTTGCAGGAATTAAGAGAAACTTTCTCTATCTACTCGGGTATAGAAAAAGTACAGAAACTCTAGAAAATGAAAGAAAAAATTTTAAAACCATATGACTAATAAGTTTGTAAAGCAAAAACCATATCTGCTTAACTCACATGGTACCACTGCCAACTCAAAGCTACGAAAAAAACAGAACAGGGAAAACTCATCAACTCATGTGATGCTTCAAACTTGGAGAATTCAAAAAAGGAGTTTGCATTAGGCCAAAGAAAACCCAGAAAGGAGTAGTATGCTTTACTTCTGGAACATGGAGAAGCTCTTATCTATGGAAAACTGACCCTAGGAATTCTATGTTGATTTGTCTTCCCAGTCCCTCCTCTGAGTGTCTGACATATTACTTTAATTCAACCGTTTATACAGAATTGGTAAAAAGCCCTGGGCCCAATCAACTGAACAATCTTCCTTAACTCAGTGAGTTCTAGTCTAGATCAAGGGCCATCAAATTATAGTCCACAGGCTAAGAAGTTTTCACATTGTCAAATGGTTGAAAAAAATCAAAAGAACGATATGGTCCATTAAATGAAATTCAAGTTTCAGTATCCATAATAAAGTTTCGGTGGAACATGGTCACGCTCATTTGTTGGCATACTCTCTATGGCTGCTTCTGTGATAAAACAGCAGAGCTGACTAGTTGCAAAAGAGTCGGACAGCTGGCAAAGCCTAAAATATTTACTGGCTGGTCCTGTACAGAAATGGTTTGCTGACCCCTGATCTAGGTAACCAGAAACTCAGCAGTCATAACAACTTTGACGACTGAGCCAGTCAGACTTTTCATCCGAAACTGTCAAGGTAGAAAAGTTTTGAAAAGGTGGAAAGAGGATCTGAAAAGTGATACAGAACTTGGGGCTTACTTCAAAAGGATGGGGACAACCAGAGGGGACTCACCAGTAGAAATGCTCCTCCACCATCTTGGTCACCGCTCTGGAGATGGCTCTTTCATGAGGGCCAAGGTTTTTGTTTAAATTCACTCCAAGTTTCTCTTCCAGAAAGTCAATTATGAATTCTGTGCCAGAAACTTTTTCATGATTATATTCAATCCAAGGCATTTTCCCTTGAGCAGAAAGTTTTCCACCAAAATAGTTCTAAGCAGAAGTACATTTTTAAAAAGAGAAAAGCAATATTGTATTTAAATTCTACTGCATGATTAATAGAAACAAACATTCCAACCTTATGTCTGACAGTGACAGTACTCTTCAAGTGAATGAACTCAGGGCAGGAACTCCTTAAGACAATCCATGGTTACTCTAGGAAAAAAACTTGTTTAACCTCACATAAAGATATCACTTTATTCTCCCATAGATTTTATCATGGACTTTGGCTTATTATGGAAAAGAAAAGAAAGACCCCAAGGGCAAGGGATGGTGGAGGTAAGGGGTAGCAGGTTGAAAGTGTTGAAATGACCCTGGTAATAGTCAGTCTAGTTTTAATGTGCAATCAATTAAAAAACTCAAAACGTAAAAATAAACCACAAGGAGGTGTGTATTGACTGGGCAACTAACCAAAGACCTCATTTGAAAACCAGTATCTCATACCGGAATAATACTCAATACCACTACACTGTAAATGAGCAGTCTCCAAAAATTATAATGCTTCAGTGTAACAAAGTATGTACAACAGGGTCAACTACTGTGCCTCTTAAAAACGCAGGCTCTTGGCCAGGTGTGGTGGCTCACACCTGTAATCCCAGCACTTTGGGAGGCTGAGGTGGGTGGATCACAAAGTCAGGAGTTCAAGACCAGCCTGGCCAACATGGTGAAACCTCATCTCTACTAAAAATAAAAAAATTAGCTAGGCGTTGTGGCAGGCACCTGTAAACCCAGCTACTCAGGAGGCTGAGGCAGAGAATTGATTGAACCCGGGAGGTTGGAATGAGCTGAGATCGCGCCACTGCACTCCAGCCTGGGCGACAAAGTGAGACTCCGTCACAAAAAAAAAAAAAAAAAGGCATGTTCCTGTGCCCCAGCCTGGACTTCTGGATCGGATCAGAATCCTGGGGATAGTGCCCAGAAATCTGTGTTTTTTGACAAGCTGTTGTTGAAAGAGAGAATAATGGAGATTTGGGCTGATCTCTGCCTCCTGGTGTCTTTTTATCTCACTGCTTATTCTAAAGAATAAAAGTGGGCCTAACCTCAGAAAGGGTAATAATTACTGGGGATGTTGTAGGGGCTACTGTTAGTCACATTGCCTTTGTGCAATTTAGAAAATAGAACCTCTCTGGGTGGAAATGGTCCATGCCAACGTTTGCAGCTTGGGAAGTAGAACTGGGTTCAAGACTTCGCCCCCCCCTGCACCCTTTGGCCAGGCACTGTTGTGCAGTGAGCGACCTACACAACTATACATGGCCTCTCTAGACATTACCCCTGATGTTAACCAAGAGAAATGTCAACTATTTCTAAAAGTTGCTAATACATCTAATATTCTTGTAATCTGTATACTAAAGATGGAAATTTACCACATACCATAACCCCCATTTCAGATTTATCTTGATGCCATCAATACCCTCTTAACACATCCCCTTTCGGACTCTTGTCATTCTCAGATGCAAAGAATGACTCGTCATTCTTCTACACTGCCAATAGAAGGAACTGTTTACAATGCAAATAAGACCCAAGAATGCTGCTGCTCAAAATTATCAAATGGCTTTAATAGCTCTAGTCTACAAACTACCCCTTTTCACACAGAAATCTAGACCCACACCCCTCATCTAGCCACTGCCCACCTGCCCGGTCTCATTGGCTATCAGTTCCTCTTGTCTCCTGAATTCCAACTCCCCCTACCCAGCCAGGTCAAGGTGTTTGCCCATCTCCCTGGCTTTGTGCACTCTTCACCTTTTACAGGAATCCTTTTCTCCATCCTCGGTAAAGTCCTACACATGCTTTAAAAAAAAATTAGTTCAAATCTCACCTTGTTAGGTAACTATTTCCCCAGGAAGCAACCATTATTTGCCCTTCCTCTGTGTTTCCACTGCATGGTGTGTAGTACCCTATCCTTATGGAATAACTATTTACACATCTGCCCTTCCCTCGAGACCACCCTTTCCCCTGAGAACTTGTTACGTGTTTATCTTGACTACCTTTTAAAATAGGAGTAATCAAAAATAATAATCAATTTTATGGAAATGGAAGTTCTAGTATGTTTTCATGATCAACAATTATATTTTGATTACTAGGTAAAAAGCAAGAGACAACATTTCAGAGACACTCTGATTACATCTAAGTAAACTTAGATGAGTGAAAAAAACATTAAAAAAGAGAGACTCACAAATATGTCACTAGTAATTGGCAAGACTAGGGGTTAGATGCAAGTAATTTTTTTATCCCATACATTTCAATTTTTCTAAATGTCGTTGTATAATTTTTAAAATAAAAATTATAGAGACAGGATTTCACTAAGTTGCCCAGGCTAGTCTCAAACTCCTGGGCTCACACAATCTGCCTGCCTCAGTCTCCCAAAATGCTGGAATTACAGGCATAAGCCACCATGCCTGGCCCAAAAAAAAATGTGAAAAAGGTTGACTTTTTTTCTTTTCTCCCTTTAATTTTTTCCTAAATATTTTTATTTCAAAAAAAAAAAAATGAGACAGGGTCTAGTTGTGTTGCCCAGGCTGACCTTGAACTCCTGGGCTCAAGTGATCCCCCTTCCTCAGCCTCTCAAGGTGCTGGGCTTACAGGCATAAGCCATCACACCCAGCCAAAATAATAATTTTTCTCAACTTCTTTAAATCTATTGAAGAACTCATGGACTATTTTTATTTAAGCAATTAGACTCTGACAATTCCACTGAGGGTAGCTTCTGGAAAGTAATTTTGAGATGATGAAAAGGTAAATCCTCCATATTTTTTCCATGCTTTTTCCTTCTGCGAGTCTGCCCCAGATGAGACTGATGCAGCCACACATATACTACATTATAAGCATGGCAGTGAAGGTAATAGACTTTGGATTTCAAAATATCATTCCATTATTTATTCACTGAGTGACCCTGAACCTCCCTGGGTCTCCCTTAACCGTCCTTGGGCCTCAGTTTCCTCATCTGGAGAGTGGGGATAATAACAGTTGCTAGGTTGAAATGAGAAGATGCACAGTGCCTTCATCAGAAGTATTTAGAGACGAAAAACTTGACACTCTAAGAGAGATGCCAGAGTCTTGGGACTCTGATTTGATATACCGGCCATGGTACTCATAGGTTTCAGGTAAATATCTATTATATTCACTCCACCCTGGAGCTCTCTTGAGTCATCTTCCACTGGCTAAATTTGAAATAATTTGAGCAGTTTGTGTGGATTATAACACATTGAAAAAAATCCATGCATCCACTATGTATTTCGTTTTGAAGAAGAATGTCCTTATTTTTTGAAGCTGCATGTTCAAGTATTGCAAGGTGATATGTCATGATTTCTGCAACTTATTTTAAAATGGTTTATCAAAAACATTGTTCACAGATGTATATGTAAAGAGGGAGGAAAAAGCAAAGGAGGAGACATATTAACCATTCATGAATGGTTTGGGCATGGAGATGTGCACTGTACTATTCTTTAGTCTACAGCTTAGAAAAAAAAAGATGCAGGAGGGGAGACAAGATCAGCAAACAAATACATCAAAAGTTAGGGCTGTCAGCTGAGGCAGAAAGCTCCAAAGGAAACATTTTCTTTTTTCCTTCTCTTACTTAAAAATAATTATTTTCTGAAATGTGTGCTTCTTATACAATTACTTATGTCAAATGATGTATGTGTCTTTACATATGTCTAGAGAAATGTAAGGAAGAAAAGTCAACAATATCAGTTATGATAATAATCTCTAGCTCGCAGGATATCAGGTAATTTTCACTTTCCACATACCCTTTTTAGTGTTGTTTGGAATTTTTCTAAGCTATTTTTTTTACTAACTACATCCCCAGGACCTCTCTATACATTGATTGCAATTTTCTATTAAGTCTATCATTATTACAAAATAAAAAGATTTTAAAATTGAACTACCAATATACTGTGATAGAGAAAAATAATAACTGTGTTCAATACATTGAGCTTTTTAAAAAATAAGCCTTGTGATTTTCTAACTAACGGTTATCAAATATTCATTCCCATTCCATTTAGGTTAAAAAATTCAAGAGCTTCTAATATAAAGTCATGATCTGAGGAACATGGCATATTAATCTTTTTCAAATGGCACAAGCAAAAGAAGGGGCAGAGGGTACAGCTCCCTGGGTCTATGAAAAAATATTTCTCTACTAATCAATCCAAGAAATGAAGTCCCCAAACACCCACTGCATCAATACAAATCCCTACTGAGGAAACAGAGCTCAAGGCACCCCCGACCCCTGCAGCAGAGCATCCCTTTCTAAACCACAGCACCATTTTTCTTTTACCTAAAATCTGCCAACCCCCTAGCATCACTCCCTCCATTTATTTTCCATAGAGACCTCACAGAAGAAAAACAAAAGCCCTATGCAATTCTTTTTTTTTTTAATATACTTAATAAGAAATAATTTTGGAAGGGGTAAGCATGCCCCTTCTTGAAGACCTCTGTAATAGCTGCAGGCTTCACAGCAAGGCATGAGTCCTGCTGCTCCAGTTACACTAACTACAGGCAGCTACTCTAAAATGTGAACAAAGGTAGACAGGCTGCAGGTAAAGACAGGTCTGCAGCAGCAGGGCTTGATGGCTTGAAGGGCAGAAAGGAAAGTGCAGAAAAGCCTGGCAGCAGCTGCAGCCACCACAAATGACAGGATTATTTTATCAAAGGTCTGGGAGCACAAAAGATCTTGAAAGTAGTCAGAGACAGCAGTCCACAAAATTCAGGTTTTGGACTCTCACTGCCCCAAAGCTGTCATGGCTAGGTGAGGCAATCTGGTGAAGAGTGATGATGGAATAGAGACAGGTGGCTATTGGGTAGCAATCTCTTCCTTCAATTTGAGTCTCCGAGTGACACATATCTTCAAGTGCAGACTGCCAACACCAAGCTGAACAATGATCTTTCAAATCTGATGCAATGCATTTAGATGCTGCAGGCCTTGTCTCCTCCTTTGCTGTCTTAGCAAGTCAGTCCTGTGTAATCTTCTCCCTGCTGCTCTCTTTAGACTCCCCCGGTGCATTCCAGTTGCCAGTTATAAAGATCCCGTTTCTAATCCCTTTCGGTTCCCAAACATCCCATGCCCCAATCCGAAGTCTGAACTCAGTGCCACTCTACCATGTCCCCAAGGACCTGCATTATAGCACATAAAAAACTAAAACATGTAAACATGTTGTCCCAGCATTGCCTTAGGAGGATCACTGCCAGCCCCATCCCCTCTTCTGCACAGAAGCTGGCTCAAAAAGCACAGGCTATGGGGAGTCAGGAGCTGGAGGGTAATATCATTATCCAGGCAGGCAAAAGCTTGGCTGGGTAGGGAGCCCACCCTCTCCAATCTCCCAGTTGGTCTGTTACAACCTGAGGAGAATACCTCCTCCCAGTGTTGGTGCTTTACAAGAGCCTACAGGTGAACCCCGGAGCTGCAGGAACCATTTGGGGGAGTGGCAGCAAAGCAAAAGGACCAAAGTAGTTTGGGGATGCCTGAGACTCACCTCCTTTCTTTTATTAAACTCCCTCAGAGGAACAGGACCTGTGGCCTGGGCTTTAGCCCAAATTCCCAGGCAGAGAAATTGGCATCCCTGGTAAAAGGAGCTCTCAAGCCAAACTAACTAGATAAGTTCCAGTACTATAAGAGAAGGGCAATGCCCTGAATTATACGCCACAAAGCAGAATTACTGGGACAGACTATAAAATTTAAGTAACATAATAAATATCCTCCAATGGATAAACGAAGAGGTTACTAATACAAACTAAAAGAAAGCATTAAGAAGAAAAATACAATAGTTGAAATAAAGAACACAACAGATGGGGTAAATAGCATGATGGATACAAAAACAAACAACAACAAACACACACAGAGCAATGCAAGGGGAGCTCAGAGAGAGGCCTGCTTCCAGAAAGCAGCAGAAAAGAATTGGAGTAGAGAGTAGAGAGGTATAGTAAATAGAAGCAGAGGTTCCAAAATCCAGATACTAGGGAAAAGGGAAGAAGAGGGGGAAGACAAATGCAAAAGAAAAGGAAATATTTTAAGAAAACTGTTAATTAATTTTCCAGAATTCAAAAGAGATGAAAGACCTCAGATAACAAGAGTTTATAAAGGCCAAACAGGATATAAAAAGACCCACACCAACGCATGTCTTATTGAAACTTGAGAATATTAAGATTAAATAAATACGAATTATAAGAGAATTTAGAGAGAAAGAAAAAGAAGAATGAGATTAACATCAATTCTTTTTTTTTTTTTTTGAGATGGAGTCTCACTCTGTTGCCCAAGCTGGAGTGCAGTGGTGCCATCTCAACTCACTGCAACCTCTGCCTCACAGGTTCAAGAGATTCTTCTGCCTCAGCCTCCCAAGTAGCTGGGACTACAGGCACCTGCCACCACGCCTGGCTAATTTTTGTATTTTCAGTAGAGATGGGGTTTTATCATATTGGCTAGGCTGTTCTCAAAGTCCTGACCTCGTGATTCGCTTGGCTTGGCCTCCCAAAGTGCTGGGATTACATGTACGAGCCACTGCGCTGGGCCAACATCA